ATACGTACATTGACACTTCCTAACAAACTATGATGAATTCTACTCAATTTTTTTAAGGAACTTTTTGAAAAGTGCTAATACAAACCACACACATTGAAAGCATACCCTTCGAAACTTTTTTATTTTATTAATATACGTTTTTCTTCTATTAACTTATTATATATATATATAGGAAAAAAGCCCGAAATGTGCTGCATCTTTTAGTACATTTATATTAACCATCAAATGTAGCTTATAGTAGAAAATGTATATTAGAAGAAAAAGTCACTTTTTCTTTTTTGTCAATGCTCATAATATTGTAACATTTTTTATTTCGCATATATGTGGGCTTAGGTAAATGATAAAAGGTTGGATTCGTTTTAAAAAGATGTGCCGTCAAAGGCTCTATAAAACCTGCATGATTGAATTCTTTTTTTTTTTTATCTGCTCTAGTGATTTTTCTGATACTCACAATGAAACAACTAACATACCAGCGTCACTTCCCATCATGTAGAAAACGTTTCGAGGATTTCTCTGATTCACTACAAGACTTGGTCTATACAAGTTTTGTAGAGCTTTCGACGGCACACTTTTAAAAAAAAATTCATTTTCCATCATTTTCTCCAGTCAAGATATGTGGCCATCAAAAAAGTCTTCCAACAGTTCCAGTATGATGGTAAGAGATACCAGTATGTAATGTGTTCGTTTTGAGTGTCAGAAAAATGTCGAGAACAGCTACAAAAAGAATTCGCTTATGCAGCTTTTCTGGAGCTTCTCATGGCACGTCTTTTTAAAACGAATTCGACCTTTTATCATTTACCTTAGCCGAGATATATACGAAATAAAAAATGTTGCAACATAATGAATACTGACAAAAAAGAAAAAGTGACTTTTTCTTCGAATATACATTCTGTACTTTAAACTGCATTTGATGGTCAATGTAACTATACCAAGAGATGCAGCGCATTCCCGGCTTTCTTCCAGTATATATAATAGGTTAATAGATAAAAAACGCATATTAATAAAAAACAAAAAACTTCGAAGGTTATACCTTGAATGTGGGTAGACTGTAAATCTCTGTAGCTACTGTTAAAACAAACAAATGAGCATGTAAGATGTAGTCTCGTTCTCAACCTAATTTTTATTTGTCGAAATAGTTTCTGTAAAAACAAAGAATATTTTTCACCCTTATGCTTTTCTTCTTATCATGGATGCTTGTGATTCCATCAAGTGGCTTATTTGATCAGATCTTAGTTGCACAAGATTTCCGACCTGTAATGGAGCTCCGTGCTCATTAAAGGATGTCCTTACGAATCATTGATTTTCATCTTTAAAACATTTTAGAGAACATGTTTCTCAAAGTTCTGAACAGTCTAACTCTGATCACTGGGTGTGTTTCGAGAAAGAGTATATTTACAAGTAACATACATCAACATTGCATATTGATTCACTGGCTCCTAGACTCAGCAGGGGTCAGATTCTAAGAGTTCGGAACTCTTCAGGAAATGTGAACTCTCCAATGAGCAAAAACAGGTCAAAACTAGCAAGCATTCTAAGACCTCCGTGAACTTACGGAACTGCTAGAATCCTTAAAACCCTTAGAACTCTTGGAATTCTTAGATCTCATAGAACTCTCAGAACTCTTACAACTCTTAGATCTTGGAACTCCTAGAACTCATGGAACTCTTGAAACCCTTAGAACACTTACAATTCCTGGAAATCTTGGAACCCGCCGAACTCCTACAACTCTTGGAATTCTTAGAACCCTTGGAACCTTTAGAACTCATGGAACTCTTAGAACTCATGGGACTCTTAGAACCCTTGTAACCCTTAGAACTGATGAAATTTATAGAAGTCTTGGCACTCATGCAAGTCTTAGAATCCTAGAAACCCTTGGAAATCTAAAAAGCATTGAAGCTTCTATAACTAGGAGCGTATGTCTGGGTTTCTGATTTTGATGACGGTGAGGGTGAAGATGAACAGTGAGAGTCTCATACTAACAGTCACATCACTTACTGACAGCCGCAGATCCACACCCACTTACTGTAGCAGCATACTCCTCCCCATTTGGAGTTTCTGGCTGTGGGTGTGCAGGTACCTGTAGATTTTGGAGTGTGAATGGGTACAGATAGATATCAGTTTCAATGTGAGTGCAGCCCATAGTGATAGCTATGCAGCCACACAGGCACGTCCACAAGTGCACATGCCCTATTCATATCCACACAGACATCTACTCACACCCTCACCGACACGCACACACACTGACTCACATCCTCAGCCACACCCATCCACACTCGGACATATTTTTGCCCATTAAAGAGGTCAGAATTCTTGAAGATTTCTGAACTCTTAGGATCGGGCTACTGCTGTCTGTAATGTTCTTTGTTCGGTTACTATATGTTTACAATGAGAAGGGGGAGCCGCAAAACCTCTCAAATGAAAACTTACAATGACTACGTCTTTGAAAAATATACGTGGGTTCCAAAAAATACAAAAGACATCAACAATAATTGACATCTATCTTTATGAAGATAAAGTCTAAACTTAAATAGTTTTTCACTAAAATGATCAGCACAAAAAGTTTTACAAGCCCTCAAAGCCTCACTGGATTTGCACGTGGTCATTGGATGGGCCTGACAATATTCAGTGGATATACTCAAATATTAATAAATCTTATGCTTTTCCCCTTTTGTGTACTCAAAAAGTGAGTGCACCCTAGCATCGGTCAGTGTGTCCGGCCGGCCGTTTACACGATAAGTTTCGAAAGGAGAGTCAAATCTCGATGAAATTTTCTACACAATTCAGTCTTTACAACATCTCGGTAGAGTTCGAAGATGAGAAAGATCGGCCGTGCCGTTCCTGAGTTGTTGCAAAAATACCCATTTTCCCCTATGGTTTCCTGTGGAAAAATTGATCCATCGCCGCTTTCGTAAAAGAATTTTCCTATCATAGTCAAATAAGATCTCAACTATTATATACCATTCGATAGAGAATTTCAAGAGCTACAAAACGATATATAAAACATTAAGAAACAAGAAGAGCAACTCACCTATTGGTAAGATAAATAAGCAAAAATCAGTTCTGTTTTTCTGCACGCTCCTATCGATCCCCAATTAGAGCTCTATCTTCCGATCATAAAGGTGATAACTGAAGGGTTTTTTGGTATGGAGAACTCGAATCTGTACTTCACTTGCCTCGAAGGCCCATGGGCTGAGCATTAACCAATAGAAATCAAGTTGTAGGAAAAACGACTTTCTAAGGCTAAGTTAAGGCGAAGAGTTCAAATCAGAGCTGTATACGCTCTCAAGTCCTATTGGTTGAGCAGTAGCCAATGGAATTCAAGAGTTTATAGAAAAGGTTTGCCAAGCTAATTTTTATATCCAGACATTCTAGGATGACCGACTTGTCTCATTCACTTTTTGAAGTATACATTGTAACGAAAAATAATAATATGGAACTATGATGTTACGGCTGCAGCATTTCTTTTATTCAATTAAATCTAATTGTGATCACAATGGACAAACTGGAAGAATAGTGTTACCGATACATTCAGTATATCATCGATGTTATCTTCACTATTCTATCCTCTAGTCTGTCCCTGTTCTTCCCTTTTTTCCTCTCTTTATATAGTGATACATTAGATCACTCGGTTATACGAGAGAAGGAAAGAGAACAGAAGAAAAGATATATATATATGTATACAGAGAGAGAGAGAACGATGAAAGTTACACCAAAAGAAACAGAAAAGATGTTATTGAACAGAACAAGAACAAGAATTAGTCAATCACACTAATTATATAACACTAGCGCAATGTAAACTAAGGATGACATCCAAATGGATAAAATCATCCCTGATTAACATATAAACATACCCACACATACATATATATGTATATCTATGATAGTGTCTATTGTCACACATAGCTCTCGAATATAAATCCGAGGTTTCCACATTTATTATGTCTATACAGTTAATAGTGTGAAATTCGAATATCTCAGTCTATGCATGCCATATTTTAAATTTATTAATTTGAGAATGAAAACTTTGTTTTGACTTGATTAAATGTATTCTCTCCTACTTACAATATACTAGATCCCTCTAGTGTCAGATGTATTTATTTGTGATCAATCTATTTCAATAACCTGCTATCTCAGATGGAATACGAGTGGATGTTGTCAAACTTAATCGAAAATAAGTGAAAATGCTGGATTTTTCAGTTAATTTCGATCAATACGGTAGTTGCATCAGATAGAGTAATAAAAGATACATAGATCTTACTAGAAGAATTGACAAAAGTTAGCGATTAAAAGTAATATAAGTGATCAATATTTATTGTCAGAAAACAGTAATTGTTGAACTCCGAGTTGGCAATATTACTTAATGAGGTCTGGTATATTTTTCAATCGCTCTAGTGATTTCAAATTCAGAATATATTTCGAGACTTAAGTGGGAGAGAATGATCAACTTTCCTGCCATCAATTATTTATGCTTAAGGAAGACATAAGACAAACTAAAATAAAAAATGGCTCATATGACTAACTGCCTTCATATAAAGTAAAGAGAAAAGTTTTTTTTTAAAAGGAGCTTAGCATGCTCTACACTCTGAGATATTCTTTCAATAGAAAAAGAAATATAAATATATTGAATGAACCAAGTCAGAAACTTTAAAAAGTCAACAAACGATGAAAAATATTTTTGATTTTTCAAAAAAGTTATTTTTTCGAATAGGGTTTGTAAGAAAACGATGAAAAATTCGACACTGAGAAAAAAAAATTGATCGATTTATCAATGAGGAGATTATGAGCTATGATCTAATGACTTAATTGAATTTTATTTGGTGGAAAAAGGACGAAATAACTTTGAAAATCTACTATATTAATGTAGTAAATATTTTACAAAGATCGTTTTGTTTTCATTCGTTTCTGATTACAATGATTTCATAATTCAATACTTTAGATGTCATGATAATTTTGTCTATTATAAATTTTTCAATTTTAGTTATAACTAATTTATTAAGAAAATGGAACAATCGAGCGATGTTCAAAGTATTGAATTAGTATCGGTGAAAAGAAGTTTCATCAAAGCTCATCTTGATTATCTTCAAAAATTTAATCTATACAATTCAAAATCCAATGATATTGACACAATACACAGAGAAAGATTATCTACTCGTCTCTTTGTTTGTTCATTATTTATACTTATGTCTAGTACAATTATCTATACCGCACTTTTATCAAGTACAATTAATGTTACAGTTTATAATCCTTCAGAAAACAAGTTCAGAGAGATCTATGAAAAATATCCTAATACTTATACATGTCCTTGTTCTCATGTTAGCGTACAATACAATAAATTCGCTCATTTTCAAATTACTTTCCATGAAGTTTGCAAAAGTGAATTTATCTCACAAGAATGGATCGATACGTCTTATAGTGCTAATGTTTCATTTATTCCACCAAATGATATTCGTACAATATTAAGTCATTTTTGGACTTTCGTTCGTTCATTTTGTGCTTTGGCCAATGTCAATGTTATTGATGCATCCAATCAATTCAACTCAACTAATTTAGTGAGTCGCTTTGTACAACCTCAACATTTAATTGAGACAAAAGCCAATGCAACTCTTGCTTTGGCACTCAACTCCACATTAAATAATCTTAAGCGAAATCTACTTCTTACACGTGAAATAATTTTAAGTAATGGACTCCTATCAAGTCTAGCTACCAACTTTTTCTTTTACATCAGCTTTTTAGAACAATCACCCTTTTACTCATCAATTGATATAGGTATAAATGCTACATCTTTTCCAGATGGTTGTTCTTGTGAGAAATCCAATGGATGTTCTCGTTCAGCTGTTATTTTTGAGTCCAATGCAACATCACATTCGATAAAAGTACCAGGCATGATGTTTGATTGTTTACCGTTAGATGGTGCATTGGCTTCATCTCTTAAATGTTTTTATGATTCATCATGTTTATCATTGATTCAAAATGTATCACTGACTAATATGAGACCATCACTACTTAGTAATCACAGCCGTTTCAAACATAATACTACTTTAATGACACTTGTAGATGAACTGATGATTGAAGAATTGATCATGACGGTAGTATTTTCATCTTACTATTCAATTTGTAACCCTAAGTATTGCACTTATTCATATACTCATAAATTCGATATACTTTTTATGATTACATTTACTACTGGTGCATTTGGTGGTGTTTCAATTCTATTAAGGTTCATAGCTCCATTGATGATCAAACTAATATTTAAGATACATTCAATGAAAAGAAGAAATAATTCGATTAATGTCAATAATTCAAATCAATTTAATCTTTCATGTAAGTCCTTTTAATTTGTCAGAAATATTTTAAATCGTTTGGGTATCATTCGTATAATATTCATTATTGTTATCTTCAAGTTTTCAATTTTGTTTAAAAACTCATTTCAGAAGAATCAGTAAGTTTGCTTAGAGTGGGCATAAGATGTCGTTTACAATAATCAAGAATTCCCATGCTAACTGTAGTGTGTATGATTGTATCTATGCACATAATGAAAAGAATAAATATATTATTATGATACGATGATTAAACTGAAATGAATCGTCTCTTCGAAGAAGAAAAAAATAGCACAAGTAACTTTAGTTGAAAATACTTGCAAGTTTTTTTTGAAATTAGTATCGATGTAGAATAGCAAGGTCCTACAGAAGCTTTATAAATGATGGACGAAAAAAAAAGTAAAATATAAACGAAGTTGACAAAGTTCGACTAAATTGATTACAGGTTTACTTCAACAACGGATAAATGAGGTGAATAAGATAAAAGAAAAAAAAACAGATGATTGATGACTTATGTATGTCATGCTGAATCGTGCGATTAACTAAACAATAAATATTAAGAAGCTAAATGATCATATATACCGTATTAAAACGATATCTTCATTAAAAATGTATTTTCATTAATTATTTCTGTGGATAGACGAAGCATATCCTTTGAATTAATCGACAAATTTTTTTAAATTTCGATGGATGGATCAGATTTTTCAAAAGCCTTGTCGAGTTCACTGATTTAGATTACAGCTAACTCATTATTATTATTAATCTGATATTGTCTTAAGATGTGGTCATAATGTAAAATTTTAAAAGATTATAAATCACGCTCATATATTTCCCAACCTTATAAAACAATCCTCTTGAAACATCAGTCTTATCTTGCTATCGATGCGGAGTTATCACCTTTAATAAACTAATTATTTGTTTATCTTTTAGTCAACTTCATTATTACAAAAATATTTCAACTTGTTTCAATTTTTCGAAACTTTCTTCTAAATCTTAATTTATTTAAAAGTTCATCTGAAAATATGACCATAATACAAAGGCAACGACTAACAACTCATCTCTTTCTTATAGGTATCGTAACTAGCATTATAATATATACTTTTTATATTAGTTTGACAACTCAAACAATGACTATCACTTTAATAAATCCATCTCAAAATGAATATGAAAAACTATGGAATATTCATTCTGATACAATCTATTGTCCTTGTTCTCAAATAGCAATACAATATTCTGATTTTATTGAAATTGTACCTAGATTTCATCAACTATGTTCGAGTATGTTTATTGCTCCAGAATGGTTCGACATTCTCCTAAATACCGACGTAAACATCATACGTGATCAAAATTTAAATGGATTTCTAGGAAGATATTTCAAAAGTCTATCTGCATTTTGTTCAATAATCAAGCAAAGTGTAAACGATTCTTATCAATTATTTTCAGCGAAGAATTTCATTACAGATCATATTCTACCTCAATATATGTTTAATAATGAAGTCAAAAATCTGATTAATACATTCAATAAATCAATATTTGCTGAAATTTTTCGTACTTTTTCACTTACTCGTGTGACAATAAACGCCAATCCATTCATAAGTCGAACAGGGATAGATACTGTATTGATTGTAGATAGTCATTACCAAATACATATAATGCCAGGTACTCTCGGTAATAGTCCTTCACCAACTAATGGCGTACGATCTTGTTCTTGCTTGTTGCAAGGTAGAGTTTGTTACTCCTATGTAGAGCTTTTTTTTTCTATGAACACATCACAGACGGTCTTAATTGAAAGCCTATCGGTTCAATGTATCTCGACTGAATCAGCACTCGTCTCAACATTAGAATGTTTGTACAATCAATCTTGTTTGAATCTGATACGTACAAATTATGCCAGGTATGGTATTAACAATCTTACGGATATTCCTTCACTTGATGAGAATGTTGGAAGTGTATTTTCCATAAATGACACAATTGAAACATTAGTATATGGACTTCTACTCGAAAATTTAACAGTTAACGTGTCTTACGATCAATTCTATGCCAAGTGTTCTCCATTATCCTGCACTTATACGATTCAAGAATCTTTTAATTTATTTTTTCTAATAACAAGTATTGTGGCTATTTATAGTATTTTAAACAAAATTTTCCGATTAGTTTTACCATCTCTTCTTCAACTAGCTTTAATTATTTGGAACCGAGTTCGAAAACAAGATTCTTCAGTTAATCAATCGGCATCGATCGTTGAAGTTACACAACGTAATGGTAAGTTAAGCGCAGTAAATCTATTTATAGTATTTTAACAAATAAAATACTTGAATATCTCATATTCTTCATATGTCATAACTGATAGTGTTCTATTTTGTATTAGTTAGTATCTATCGATCTAAATGACTTTGTTTCTTACTCAATTAATTATTTTGTATCCTTCAAATGATAAAACAGATTTGATTATAAATTATGAGAAGAGATCTTTCTCCATAGCATCACATGTTGCAAAATATTACATATTTTGTGCTAATGATTGGGAAGAAAAACGAATTTTACGAAGAATTTTTTTTTTGAAGATCCTGAGAATTTTTTGTAATCGGAATATGCATCGTACTTCTAACTTTCAAGATATTAGAAACAATCTTATTAACTCTATACTTTTTTCCTAAATTCAATTCAATCATATGTACAAGTTCCATTGTTGTGATATGAACTAATTCTTACTCTTTATCTATGATCATTTTTCGACATATATTATTTGCTACCATAATTTTCAAAAATCTCGACCTTTTGATTTCTAAGAATTTAAACATTGTCTATTTGCAAATTGATAGTATAACTTGAATTTTCTTCTTGTATTATTGTTTTTCCTTTAGACTTTTTAGTTGTAATACTTTGCTTTTTCTATGCATACCAGCTGATTAGTATTTAAATGTGCAGAAAAACAGAGCATTATACATACTAAACTATAGTTTTTAGCTATTTAGCAAGACTGTAAAATTTTTATTGTACGGCTATTGCATAATCACCACTATCGATTATCTAATTTAATTGTCTAAATATTTCAGTAAGTCTAGATTAAATGCAAAGTAAACTTTGAATTTAATGAACTCAGCTTTTTGAAGAAGAGTCTCAAAAATTATTTTGCTTTGATATCAGATGCATACCAGTGGTAATTCTATTTTATACTCCTAGTTCACCAGCTGATATTTTTAATGGAAACATTTGTCTCACAAATATTATGATGGTTCAAGAGAAGTTCTTGTTATGCTTTTACTGATACAAAATAAAAATGAAACAATCATAAATTTATCTAATAGATCTACATGAATGAAAAGTTGAGAGAAAAGCTACGTAGTAGCTATTGATGAAGACAATATACTCACATGAACTACCTTAATAAAAGATCATTTTACAATATATCAAGTTTTTAAATCTCAAAAAGAATAATCTTTATTCAGACCGGTAACTGAGAAGATCTTTGTTACCATAAGATATACGAAACTAAAAACAAGAATCTGAATATCATTGATATATGAAATATGTATAAATGATTGGATCTCGCCCAAAATTAATGCTATTAACCTTTAAAGTTTTCCAATCGTGATGAATAAAAAATTTCTCTATGGCAAGTTAACTGATTGTGTTCTTAGTAGTCTGCAACCTGATCCAATTTGTGCTCAAGAAGAGCACGGCCTACTAGAGTCTAGAATTTGAAGAGCTATGCATACTTCAAACAACTAGCTAGCAGCATAAAACCTTTTCAAACAGTTTCATAAAATAATACAGAGATCAAAAACTTGATTTAGGATTTTATATCAGAAAATAAACCCTCAAATATCATTCTGCAGTAATTTCTGAACTAAAATCAATAGATCATTCTGAAATAAATGTAGTATTATAAAAGTGACCTATCTATTATCAGTATCCTTCTTATAGGTCAATTATTTTTTTTTAGTTCCAACCATTTCATACAGAATTCGAATTCAAGAGTACATGCGTACATTGAATCTCTTTCAAACAGAATTTAGTACAAATGATACTCGACGACAAGAAATTATATCCACACGTCTATATCTTGGTTTAGTGATAGGTTTCACAATTATTCTCTTTCTTTACACTGGATTAATCGAACGAACAACAACTATTATGGTTCCAACTCCATCGATATCAACTTATGTAAGTCTTCAAGAACGTTATTCGGACACATTGCAATGTCCTTGTTCTACTATATCAATACCATACCAAGAATTCATTATCTATCTTAATGCCACATTTCATCCTATTTGCTCACGTTCTGATTTCTTAAGTGCATGGCATAACTATTTTTATAGATACCGAACTACTATTGTGTATTGGATTCATTCAGATGATTTTCGTAGTTGGGCTATTGTGTTCTTTAATTTTCTCGAAAAGTATTGTGAACAAGCAACTATAACTGTTGCTGATGTCATCGAACAGTTTAAATCGGATTTATTTGTATCATCTGAAGTTATGTTTCCCATTTTATTTGAAACACAGATTGAAATGATACTCAAATTATTTCAAAAGTCAACTTCGATTCTATTTGCTCGTCAACTACAAATGTTTCGGAATATTAGTGTAGGACATGGTTTAATATCGAATTTGGGAATTAATATAGAATTGAAGTTAGATCGAATTGCTGTCGATGCTCCGGTTCTTGTTATACCAAAAACGTATAAGAATGGAACTTGTTCATGTGCAACTTCAAGTAACTGTGTAGAATTGGCAAGTTTCTATAATCGCACTCATGACATCGTCTACACTATTGAAAAGATTTATACTGGATGTTTTATACTTGAATCAATTCTGCATTCATCTCTCACTTGCTTTTTCTCAAATTCATGTATGATCGATCTTATGAGTGCAACGAATCTTGGCAACCCAAATCTGGCTGCGCTAACTGAAATAATGGATATTTCACCACTAGAATTTGCATCACCAATATCTAATTTTAACATCAATGACACAATCGAAACCATGGTTTATCAATTGTTTATTGATTCTTGGTCAAATGAAACATCGTATGAACGATATTACAATGCATGTGCACCAATTAAGTGTATTTATTTGAAGGAAAAGCGTTTGAATGTTATTTATGCAGTAACAATTTTCTTAACTGTAATCAATGGACTCTTACTAGGACTTCGTTCTGTTGTCCCATTATTCGTTCGGCTGTTATACAAATTAGGTAATCGTATCCGTACATTATGCTCATGATCGATGTTTCACTTTGAAACTCAAAAAGAAAAACAATTCTTCTAATGATTATATAACATGAATCCTGAGAACAACAATTCTTCCCTATCAAATTTGTAATCTGCAAGATTCATTCATACATAAATAAAGCCTCGACATTAAAGTTGTGATTAGTTCGAAGACACTTTTGAATCGTCTATTTGACAGTTAATTTCGACTTTGTCACTGACTGGAATAGTATTTTATTTTATTTTTTTTTGAAAAGTTTTATAGCATGAAAATGATCGATGCTGTAACCATCAAAAATTCCAAATTAAGAAATAATACTTAGGATAAATCAAAAGTAACAAGAGTGACACTTCAATATCGTGTATGAAAATTTCAAGGAACTTGCTTTCTATGCTATTTTGTCATAGTTCAACCAACATCACACAAATAAAAATTTCAATAAGATGTGTTGTGTTATTATACGCGCTGGTTGTATTAATAGTCATTGAAAAAAGGCAAGTGAGAGTTTTGTTGTGGATGTTCAATAATACCAACAGAAATATTAACTTTCACCCTGAAGCGTAAGTTTTATATATCTTATTTATACAATTAACCTTTCTCAGGAATCGATTTATGCAACATGAATATCAGCAGGAATATTTATTAAAAATCGAGTTCACTTCTTATTAAACGACAAAAAAGAAATACATTATTATTTCTATCATATCGAACAAGTTATCGACTTGTTTTGATTATTTCTCTACTTTTTAAAATTAATCACTTATTGTCAGAATGAGATTTTAAATACTATCAATAGTCCTACTAACAAGTTTATATTTAAGTGAAAGAACAACACATTTAATATCAATCAACACAAGACTGATATCTTTTTAATGGATAAATCTGGAATGGTATTATTGTGTTATCCGGATAACGTTATGAGTCTGCGTCATTGTTTTCGTTCATGTTTTAGCCTTTTTACAAAAAAACATCATTCAAGATTAAATCAAAGTTAATCGAAATGAAAAGAGTCTATTGAAGCATCCAAGAATTTCAGTTACAATTTTAATCGCTTCAGAATAAGTTCATTTTATAATGATAATATAAAGCGTGTGAGGGTGGGTGTGGGTAGGAGTACTTCTTCACCTTCACCCACACCCTTCATCACAAAAAGCATCGTTTGTTTCGAAAAAAAGACATCGTTCAAGAAAGTTTTTGTTTTGAAAAACTTCTCGGACGAGAAGGGAGAACATAGTATTACTAATTTTGATTGTCTAAATTTAATTATGTATGTTAAAATTTCAACTATCATTAAGTTACTATCGCAACTAAATCTGCAGGTTTCACCCTTCAATTCACTGCTCATACTCAATGTTGAAGTTAGAATTTATTTCAAGGTATGTAATGAAGTTATCAATTGAAATTTAATAGCAACACTATAATAGACTTGATTTTGGTCCTCTAAATATTTTTTCCGTCATTCGCTACCTTCAATTGTAGTTACTGCTTCAATGATAGATACAAAATTATCTGCCCGATGTAATTGTTTAAATCTGTATCCACTTTCAGTTAATAGATAAATATATTCCAGTAATGTTCTCTCTTCGGAACCTAAATTTATGAGCATTTCAAGACCATATACGTGTATTTCCTAATATTCTTTGCTGTTTGACGAAATAGTTGTTTCTGCAATAAAGACTGAGATTGTTTTTCCTATTTGGGTGTGGGTGTGGTTGTGGGATGTGGGTGTGGTTGTGAATGTGGGTGTGGTTTTGAGTGTGGTTGTGAATGTGGGTGTGGTTTTGGGTGTGGTTGTGGGTGTCGGGTGGGATGTGGATGTGGGTGTGGATGGGTGTGGGTGTAAGTATGGGGTGTGGGTGTGGGTATCGGGTATGCGAGTCACTGAAAATATGACCTACACCCACACCCACACCCGCACGCACGCCCCACACCCACTCACACCCACACTCCAGCCCACACCCACATCCACCCACACAACTACACCCCAGCCCACACCCACTCACACCCACACTCAAGCCCACACCCACATCCACCCACACAACTACACCCCAGCCCACACCCACACCAACACCACCACCCACACTCACACGCCCACCTCACACCCACACTCACACACACACCCAGGTCCACACCCATCCACACCCGCACTCACATCCACATTCGCACCCACACCCACACCCACCCACACCCTCACACGCAGACCCACGCCCACACACCCACACCTATACTCCACAGCCTGTTCGATACCGCATAAGGGGCGGAGTGTCTTCCACCTATATGGATATAGATGGAAAACAACAGAACGAATGTGAAATCAAGTCATCGTATGGTAAAAACATTAGTTCGCTAGTTTAAAACAGCCGATGTGTACACTACGAAGAGCGAAAAAGCATTCGATGGTATGGTATACGTCACTATTAAATAGTGCTAAAAATGTAGTTGCATAGTGTCAGTAGTATTCAACATGAAGTTAGTCTATACAGAATTAACTTTTGCAGTTTTTTTGGAAAAGTGAGTTTTGTCATTCTTCATAGTCTTTCTTTATAGATTGATTTGTTAGAAATTCTCGCTGCTGTTAAAATTAAATTTGTATTTCATTGAAAAGTCGCTCATTCACTTATGCTACGTTTTATATAAATTATTTCTGATATAAATATAATAGAACGTAATAAATCATGTATATCATCTGTTGAAAATTTGCCTGCTAATTCAAAATGGCTTTTAATGCTATCAAAATAAATGGACATTGAATCTATATTGGAACATAATAAAAGATCTTTTTATATAAATTGTAAGAGGAGTTATTTGGGTGTGGATGTGGTGTGTGGGTGGGGGAGTATATGTGAGTGTGAGTGTAGGCGACGAGAAAACTGACACCCACACCCCACAACTCAGAGCAGTCATCCTATTCCACCAAGTTACACAATCCTGCACATTCCTGCATATTCCTGCATATTCCTGCATACGTATATGTATTCATGTTCTACTTCACATTGCCATAGAAATAACGATGCAATTCCCCTTTGAATTGCGAAATTGCATCTATATGGAATGACCAGGAATTCCTGCACATTCCTGCATATTCTTGCACATTCCTGCACATTCGCGCATATTCCTGCATAGGTACATGTATTCATGTTCTACTTAGCGTTGCGATACAAATAAAGATACAATTCCCCTTTCAATACCGAAATTGAATCTGTATGGAATGACCAGGAATTCCAGCACATTCTTGCATGTTCCTGCACATTCCTACACATTCCTGCACATTCCTGCACATTCGTGCATATTCCTGCATAGGTACATGTATTCATGTTCTACTTAGCGTTGCGATACAAATAAAGACGCAAGTCTCCTTTGAATTCCGAAATTGCATCTATACGGAATGACCAGGAATTCCTGCACATTCCTGCACATTCTTGCATGTTCCTGCATAGGTACATGTATTCATGTTCTACTTAGCGTTGCGATACAAATAAAGACGCAAGTCTCCTTTGAATTCCGAAATTGCATCTATATGGAATGTCCAGGAATTCCTGCACATTCCTGCACATTCTTGCATGTTCCTGCATAGGTACATGTATTCATGTTCTACTTAGCGTTGCGATACAAATAAAGATACAATTCCCCTTTGAATACCGAAATTGAGTCTATATGGAATGACCCGGAATTCCTGCATATCCTCATGAGGACGGATGTGCACAAATTCCGGTATTCCCCTTTGCATTTCTTCAACCTGGAGAAGTGATCATTTAGGCATCCATGACATGTTTGGAATTCCGCAATAGCCAGGAATGACCCGGAATAGGCAGGGATGACCCTGAATAGGAAGGAATGATCCGGAATTCCTGCATATCTTTACGATGACGGATGTGCACAAATTCCGTTATTCCGCTTTGCATTTCTTCAAGCTCGAGAAATGATCATTTGGCCATCCGGGACATATTTGTTGTTCCGGAATAGGCAGGAATGACCCGGAATTCCTGCATGTCCTAGTGATTCCGCAACAACCCGGAATTCCTGATTCATAGTTCCCTTCACATCCCAA